CATATCGGCACGGTCGCAATTGCATTGAGGAGCCCGATTACCTGCACTTGACGGAGCGAGATCTTGCTACGCTCGCCGTCACGCTCGATGTCGAACCGGCGCGCGTGAAAGTAGAGACTCATGCCGATCGGGTACAGAACCGTGGCCATGCGCAGTAGACTGTGACCCCACTGTAGCGCCTCGAAAAAGTTGAGCTGTCTTTCATGACCGAAGCCCGCACTGTTGGGATCATCATGTTCATCGACATGGTCGTCGTCATGGTCGTCGTCAGCCCCAAAGTGCAGCCTGACGTAGAGGATCATGCCCAGACCATAGAGACACAAAACGATGTAGATGCTAGCGACGAAGAAGCGCATAGCGCGCTTGCTGTTGGCAGCCGAGCGCGGCGCGAAGACCATGCGCTTGATCTCGTGGACAGCGACGAGAAGCCAGAGCCCGGCCCCGACCTGGAAGATTTGTGCGACGAGGAACGTATACTTTGTCAGCGAGTTGTCCCAATTCGTCTCGCGGCGGTCGAGGTACTTGGCGATGCAGCCGACAAACGTGACGGCCGACCACACGACGGTGCACGCAAAGAACATGAAGAGGGCGCCTTGGCTCGCGTGTTGTTTGACATTGGTCCACTTGAAGACGACGACGCATGTCACGAGCGCCATTGTTGACGACATGGTCAGGGCCAGCGTGTACGGTACGAGCATGTAGTCGGCGAGGCCGACGTTGCTGCCAGTGTGCAGCACCCGCGTCGCGCGCATTGCCGCAACGCTTGCAATAGGATAATTGCATATCACACAAAGACTCGAACAGATGCTGCTGGTCGGCCTTCCCATCCTCACTGTCAAACAAACTTCTATCAAACCAAAGCGCCAGAAGCTCTGAACATTGCCAGCACACCGAAATCTTGCCCGCCCATGACGACTGTTATCAGCTTGTTGGCGCCGGTGCAATACTGCACCAAGTTGGGAGCCGATCAGGTGGGTCACTAACGCACCCCTTTGCACACTCGATCATGGGAACAACAACACTGTCTCTCCCCGCGTACACGAGAAGATGAAATGAAGTGATCGAACTGCAGCCCGGTGGAAACACTTGTCCAAGGTAAGCTTATCTCCAAATTGTCTTCGTCTTGGCTGTGCAAAGAACGTGAGACCGCATTCCGCGCATTAAGAGCAATTCTCGCCTCGCGATCAAGCACAGTGCTGTGTCTTTTAGCGCGCTTCTATTAACCATAGCGCCGACATGTTATTTAGCGCTTCTGGTTGCAAGCGCTTGGACTCTATGCTGGCACTGCCCGGTCCGTAGGAACGAATCAATCATGGACACTCGAGCCTGAGCCCAAACAAATGCACGATCGAACTTGAAGAGTCATTTTGCGAAAGTGGATGATTCCTCATTCAACTACGACACACTGCACAAAACGCAGGACTCATCTAAGCGCACACTTTATTCGGCCTCGTCATCTGAGTGGTTGTGCAGCTCTACTCGTCGAAGCAGCACCAGTCTCCTGCCATCAACGAATGTGCGCATCCGCTGTTCGGCAGCTTCGCTTGACGCTCTGTCGACAGGCTCGATCCGGATCAGCCCGGCGTGGATTGGTCAAAATTCGCATTTCGTGCACCGTGCGATCCCAAGATCCAACCAATCATATTGCATCTTGGTATGAAAGAGCACATCTCATTGGTCACAACCCACAAACGCGCACAGCTGAATGGCAAGCTGCCTCGGTCGGCTCTTAATATCGATTTGCCACAGGTATGTATTCTAAAAGGTCCTTAAGATATATAATTTTAAACTTTCATTATCATAATAGACAGTGAATACGAAGAAAAGGGTTTTCTGAAGCTTGTGGGATGGGCGGGGTGAATACCAATTGGCGCGCTGTGATTGGTGGAAACCCAGCCGTTTTTGCGGCGTCGAATAAAAAGCGGCAGGTATACAGAGAGGCAGTCATTTGGGGCCAGAAGCGGCGATCATTCCATTTTCGTTCGACTGACTGCCATGGCCGACTCGATGCCGCTGCCCAAGCCGGAGGTCGCCCCCGTCGCGCCGACGTCGTCGTCCGGCGTCACTATCAAGGGCAAGGAGGTCGTAACCAAGTATATCGACGCCGTCAACTCTACCGACATCCACCGCATTAATGGCTACCTCCGCGTCGCCAACATCTTCTCGGGCGTCGTCTTTGGCATCATGGGCATCTTCGACCTCTTCTCGATCGACTCGTACAAGAGCTTCCTCGTTGCCGTCTACGTCATCGTGCTCTCGTCGCTCCTCGTGCTTTTCGAGTTCCGTGAGAAGTTTCCGAAGCTCGAGGCCAAGACCAAGGAAAACTTTGGCTTCATGTTCACGGGCTTTGGTCGCTCCGTGTACATCATGATGTACGTAGCTCTCTGTGCGTGAGTGATGGCGCTGAGCACCTTTTAGCATCGCGTTCCTTTCGTTCTCCCAGGGCACGCTTGGGATCGTCATGGGCGTCGGCTTTTTGCTCCTCTCAGCCTTCAACTTTTTCATCATGTGGAACGTACGTGAATCTCGTTGAATCGCCCATGAAGCTTACGATCAATCAATGCCTAGCACCCCGGCTACCACCAGGTCATGCGTGCGCCCAACAACACCACATACGAAAAGACCGCAGAGGCGTCCTCGACGGCCACCGAGGTGTACGTCCCGACCGCGGCGTCGATCGCCGTCTAAGCCCGGGCGCCTTAACCTAATGCTATCCACTGCGAGATAACAGCACTTCCTCGATGCAAGGTGTTGGGATTAGAGCTGACGATTATCCGTCCTGTAATTCATTGGTGCAGGCATGAGGGAGGGAGCGAACAAGAAGGGAAGCACGCCTTCCCTGGCAGCCCACCGTTCGTCTCGGCGTTTTTAATAATTCTGGCCGCATACAAAGTGGGGAATAAAAACAGAACATATACTGTATGGGAATGAAAATAATATTCGTCCCAGCGAACCGAGTTTGAGATTTGAGGCCGTCGTTGTCAGGCGCCGATGGATTTGAACCAGGAACAGCTCGTCCATGAGGTCGAGCGCAAGTACATGGCCGCGGCCGAGACGCTCCGTGTGACCAAGGCGCGCATCGAAGCCCTCGAAGCCGAACTGGAGGCCAAGCGTGGCGAAATCGCAACGCACAAGGCCCGCGTCGACGCATTGGAGACGGCCAAGCAACAAAGCGACGCCGACCTGGCGCAAGTGGCGCGCGAGAAGGCGCAGATCGACGAGCAGCTCAATAGCTTCTCGAGCCTTGCGGATCAGCGCTTGCAAGAAATCCACGCCGAGCGTGGTCGCGTCGCGGATCAGGCAAAACAGCTCGTGGCCCTCCAGACGAGCGAAACGAAGGCGCTCCAGGCACACGCGCGCCTCGAAGCTCAGCTAGCCCCACTGCAGCTCGAAGTCTCGCGCCTCCGGAAGGAAGTTGCTGCCGAGAAGGCACACCTTGAAGAGGCCCAGTCGCAGCTCGTCGAGAAAAGCCGTGCCTACACAGAGTACCGCCTCGAGGCGCACAAGAAGATCAGCGACGTTGAACACCAGTGTATCTCAGCAAAGGACGACGCCGCAGACTTGCGCCTCCAGGTCTCTCGGCTCCAAGATGAGAAGCAGGTGCTCCGAGACGAACTCAAGGTCGAGCGCGAGAGCAACCTCGAGATCCAGACCGAGCACGAACGGGTCGTCGGGCACCTCGAGAAAGAGCTGGCCGCACAGCACCGTTTGACTGACCTGTACAAGGATGCATCGCAGACAGCGTCATCCAAAGTCGACCAGCTTCAAGCGCTGTGTGAGTCGCTCCAGACGTCCTTGAAGGAGGCAGAAGACGCGCTTGCCGAGGAAAGCAGCAAAGTCCGCGAAGAGTCGCAGCAGGCGACGATGCATCTCTTCAAGGAGCAGATGCAAGTGTCGGAGTCGAAGATCGACGAGCTCGAGAGCGCGGTCGCAAAGGCCCACGCCCGCGTTGCTGAGCTCGAAGCCGCGAACGCCGCCGCCGCCCGCCGCATCTCGACGATCGCAGAGTTTTCAACGACGGCTGGTGAGCTGCACCTGGCCGAAAATGGTCTGAGCGCTTCGGACATGTACGACCGCATTGTGCAGCTGGATGCGACCGTCGAAGCGGAGCGCGCAGCCAAAGAAAAGCTCGAGGTCTACCTCCAGCGCGTCTTGTCGGAGATCCAGGCCAAGGCGCCGTACCTCGAACGCCTCAAGAAGGAAAACGCCCGTGCGCTTGCGAGTCACGACGCACTTAGCGACCGGCTCGAGTCGGTCACGAACGAGCTTGGAAAGGCACGCGACCACCTCCGAGCGGTGCAGAAGGACAAGGAAGGTGTCGAAAGCGAGCGTGACGCGCTGCAGCAGTCGGTGACGGACCTCTCTCGCCAGATCCAGACGCTGCTGTACGCGTCCGTGAAGGGCCCGTCGGCGCCGCTCTCGGACGAGACCCTCGTCGTGTACCGCAACATTGAGGAGCTGCAAGTGCGCAACCAGCAGCTCCTCAAGATTGTGCGCGACCTCTCGGAGAAGACCACCAAACCGTCATCATCGGTCGTCGTCACGGTCGAGTCGGACGAAGACCTCGTGCCGTGGAGCCAGGCGCAGTGGGAAACGGTGCACGCCGAGCTAGCGACGCTGCGCGAGGAGCGCGCCCGCGAGCAAGAAATGGTGAGCGCGATCGTCAAGCAGCGCGACATGTACCGCGTCTTGCTCTCGCAGGCCGACGCGCGCTACCAAGAGCAGCCCGCTATTGAAGCAGTGTCGTCGAAGGAGCGACCGGCCATGGACCTCGGGTCCCACGACGCGCGCCTCCTCCGCGAGCTCCGCGTCGAGTTTGAGGACTACAAGAAGGAGAAGCAAGCGCTCGTGACGTCGCTCCGCGCTGTGATCGACACGCTCCGAGGCGACGTTTCCAAGGCCAAGGTCGCCGCCATGGAAGCCAGCGTCGAAGCCAAAGCCAACCAAGACAAGTTTGTGCTGGCGGACGCGCGCAAGGCCGAGGCCGAAACCGACGTCGCGCGCTTCCGCGCCAAGTACGAGCAGTGCAGTAGTCTCCTTCTCAAGCACCAGGCGACGATCGCCGAGCTCAGCGCTGACGTGGACACCAAGGCCAACGCACTCTTGCAGACGGAGCGCAGCTTCCGCGACGCTGATGCCGAGCGCACGTATCTCCGTCGCCAGGAAGAGCGCTTGACGCTCGAAGTGACGCAGCTGCGCCTTGACAGCACCAACCAGCTCAAGCTCATGGACGCCGTGCGCCGTATCGAGTCGTTCCAGACAGACCGCAACGCTGCCGAGCTCGAGCGTGTCACGGCGCAGGCGTCGTCGCTCGAGACCAAGGTTGCCGAGCGACAGAAAGCCCTCGACGATGCCAACGCGCTCTCGAGTGCACACATTGCGGAGCTCCAGCTCGAGCTCAAGGCAGCGCGCAAGGGCTGGGAAGCCGACAAGACCCAGCTGGGATCGGTTCGTGAAGCCCGGGTCGCACTTGACGAGCAAGTGCGAGCGCTCCAGGCGCAAGTCGCGTCCAAGAATGAAGAGGTGATTTCGCTGCGTGCGACGCTGGCCAAGGGCGCCGGTGTTGCCGCGGCCGAGCGTGTCGCGGGCCTTGAAACGGCGCTGGAGGACGCCAAGCGCGAGCTGCACGCGGCGCTCACGGCGAAGCAAACGGCTGAGACGCACGCGGACCAGTACAAGGTCATTGCCGACGCCCACGAAAAGTCGCTCGCTGCGCTCTCGGCCTCGAGTGCCAAGTGGAAGGAAGAGCAGTCGGCGGCGCTGGCTGCGGCGCTTGCGGCGCGCGATAAGGCAGCCGAAGAGATGGCGTCGCTGCAAAAGTCGATGCTTGCCAACGCGGCCGAAGAAAACAAGCTCCGGCGCGAAATGGACGCCTGGGATGCCGCCAAGCGGCTTGACATGCAGAAGGCCGAAGAGCGCGCGCTTCTCGCCGAGAAGGCGAGCGAGGCCGTCAAGAAGGAAGTCGTTGCGCTCCAAGAGCGCCTCTCCAACACTGAGGAGGACCTCCAGCGCACGCGCGACGACTACACGCGCGAGCTGCAAAAACACTTGACAGCCGTTGTGAGCTGCAACGACCTTCGGCGCGAAGTGGACGACGCGCGTCGCGTCGCAAAGGAGCAGCAATTCGCTACGTGCAGCCTCCAGGCGACGCTCGATACGATTGAAGCCCGGCACACGACGGCCATCGCCCAGCTGCAGGCAGCCGTCGACGACGCCGTTGCTGCCAAGGCTGCGCTCTCAGAGCAAAACCAGTTGCTGCACTCCCAGCTCGAGGTGCTCACGCAGGACATTGCGCGCGAGCACAACGCGGCGATCTCGTCGTCTGCGTCCAGCGAAGCAGCCGACGAGAAGCAGCTGCGCGACCTCCGCGGCGTCGTCACGTACCTCCGCCGCGAGCACTCGATTGCCGAGTCCAAGGCCGAAATCGCGCAGCAGGAGACGCTGCGTTTCCAGAGCAAGGTTCGTGCGCTCGAGAAGACAGTTGAGAAGCTCAAGGCGGAGCAAGAAGCGGCACTCAAGCTTCAAGCGACGGCGCTCATGACGACGGAAGACCAAGGAAAGCGCACGGCGATGCTCGACCAGTTGAGCTTGCTCCGGGAAAGCAACGCGACGCTGCGCGCCGAGATGCAGGCCGCACTGCACAAGGTCAAAGAAAAGGAGGCAGCGATCGCGGTCTTGGAAGCCAAGGTGGGTCCGCTCCAGAAGAGCGAGAACCTCTTGAAGGGCCAGATCCAGAACCTCAACGAGGACATCGAGAGTCTGAACCAAGCCAACAAGCGCTGGAAGACGCGCGTCGACCAGCTCATCGAGAAGTATCAACAGATCGACCCGGAGGAGCACGAGAAGGTCTGTGCCGAGCGCAATTCGCTCAAGACGCAGGTTGAGGCACTTGAAAAGTCGGCAGCCGACGCGACTGCGGAGCTCGCCAAGGTTCAGCCGCTCACGGCGGAGCTTGAGGCTCGCAAAAACTTTGTCGAGGAACGCTGCCTGAAACTGCAGTCGTTTGTCAAGAACTGGAAGGAGCGCGCTGTCAAGAGCGAGGCGCGAACAGCAGAACTCGAGGCCGCCATCTCGACGCTGGAAGCCAAGGCGGCCGAGAGTGACGCTGCCAAGGGCCTCGAAGACAAGATCAAGGTCGCTGAGAGCGAGGCCAAGAAGGCCCAGGACGCCGAGGTTGAGGTCAAGAAGGCGCTGGACGCTGAAGCCGACAAGAACGACAAGCTCAAGCTCCTCAACTCGAAGCTCATGGCCAAGGTCAAGGCCTCGGCCGCCGAGATCGCACAGCTCCATGAAAAGTTGAGCGCATCAACGCCAGCCGTCGAGACCCCTATCGAAGAGCCGCCGACACCCGAAGCTGCAGTTGTCGTTCCGCCGCTCCCTCCCCAGGCCGAGACAACGCCGGTGCAAGTCGTGGTCAAGCCTGTGGCGTCGACGCTCGCTGCTGCACCTGCGCCGGTTGTGACAAAACCGTTTGTGACCCCGACGCCAGTTGATTCGGCGCCTGCTGCCCAAAAGCCCGTGTTGACGGCAACTACTACGGCAACTAACGTCGTCGTGTCCCCGCCGCTCCCCGCCGAGACCAAGCCTGCTCTTGCGTCCCCCCCATTGCCTACGGAGCCCAAGGCGGTCATCGCTCTATCGCCTCCGTTGCCAAATGAGCCGAAGCCTGTCGAGGCTGACGCATCAGCGGCCGAGGAAGCGGATGCATCGTCGTCCTTGCGCGAGATGGCATTGAAGTCTCTCTTGAAAAAGTCCAAGATGGCAGCGCAGCAGAAGGCGCCCGCATCGCCCGCGAAGCCAACGGTCGTGATTCCAGCGCCAGCAGCGCTGAACCCGGCAGCCCCCGTCTTCAGCATCGCATCCACAACGACCGCCGCACCATTTGCAGCTCCGTTTGCGGCCGCGCCCATGGCGCCGCTCAAGCTCGATGCACCGACGCCTGCAACAACGTCGCCCCCGAAGGTACGTCGTTTTCTTTTAAAAGAGTGGACGATAGCTTAGCGTGCACTGTAGGGCAACCCGTTCCTCAACTTGATGCCGCCAACAGCCTTTGGTTCGAGCGGCCCAACGGGCCTCGTCTTTGGTGGCAACTCGAAGATCACGTTGCCAGTGCCAACGCTGCCCGCAGACGCAGCGGCGGAAGCCCCGGCCGAGACGGAAGAGCAGCGGCTGCAGCAACGCCTCATGCGCTTCAAGCGCGTGGCGACGAATGCGATCGAGAACGAACCGCCAGCCAAGAAGGTTGCGACGGCCGATGAGGCCGACGACGCCGACGAAGAAGAGACGAAGGCGGCGACGTCCGAGCCCTAGTATACGTGACTTAAATGCATATTTCACCCAAATCGCTGGTGACGGTTGAGTTTGAAACCGATGGCTGCAGCGTGGAGCGTAGCGGCGCTGCGCGAGGCTCTCGCTGGGCTCGGTATCTCCGCCGCGACGCCGGGAGCGCGTGGCGACGACCGGCGGGCTCTTCTCCTCGGTACATATACTTCTGGTTCTCGTATGATGATGCCCATCCCTCGTCGCAGCTCGATACGAAGAAGCAACCAGATCTACGGCTGTTAGCAGCGCGTCATCCAAGCCAGTAGCAGCATCAACAACGTTGAGTCTTACCGATCTGCGTCGGTTGGCACTGCATACGTGAACTCTCGCTGACGTCGTCTTAGAGAGCTCGAGAAGGTTGGCGTGAGCTCGTCAACACCAGGTCTTCGCGGCGAGGATCGACGCGGCGCCCTGTATGAGCGTTGGCTCGGCCTCCAACGCTCCAACCAGAAAGAGACCATATTGACGGCCAATGCAACACCACTCGACGCCACGGACGACGACGCACGCGACCCATCGCGCTCGCCGATGAAGCAAAGTCAAGAGAAGCGAGCGATGGCGCAGGCGCTCTACAATAGCGTTCAAAATCTGCGGCAGGCCCGAGTCGAGGCCGTCGCGCGGCGCATGGGCGACGATCTGGCGTCCTTGAATGCTCTTGGGCGAGAGCTCGATGCCGGCAACGTATGTGCTTCAATCTCTTGATGACAGCAATGTTCAAGCGCCCTGGAAGGTACAAAGTGAAGACGCGCAGATCCTCCAGAGTCGAATAGCCGCCCTCGAGCGCAAGGCAATTTCGCCTACTACGCCCCGCGTTTGGCCTCACGGGTTGACCAGGTAGCTCAAGCGCGCGAACACGAGCACAACGACGTCGTTCATGGCGTCAGAGCTGAGGCTGAGCAGGTTCGGACAGTTGCGCAGCTCGAGTCAGAAATTCAGGCGCATCACCGCCAAGGCTTCAAGGAGCTCGTTGCGATGGATGGCCTGCGCGTGAACCCCCTCTTGGCACCACCGACGTCATTGCACCAATTGCGCAGGCAGACATTCGGGAGTACGCTCGCCCGCGGCGGCAGCGAACGGGCACTGCAGGTTGTAGCTGTCCGAGACCGCATCCAGACCTTCTCGGCACCACAGCCATCCGCACCGGTTTCCAAAGCCGAGAAGCTCGGGCGAAAAGCCTTCTTTCTTCATGTACTTCAACACGACTGCTTATCCCATCTAACTCGTCTGTCTTAGCGTATCAAGGGCGACTACGACTTGGCCGAACAAACGTTCAACGAAGCGATTGAGCTGGAGCCGACAAATAGCCGTGAGCAGTGGCGTGCGGCTACCAGTGTTATGCAATGACTTGTAGATAATCTCGGACACTACGCGCTCTTCCTCGATTATGTCCGCGGTCGTTTGGAGGACGCCGAGGAGTACTACTTGCGTGCGATCGACGCTCCCGCAACAGACGCCACGCAGCTGTCCAACTACGCCAGGTTTTGAGCCCCAGTGAGTCGTAATCTCAACTGGTCATGGCGGCTAGCTTCCTCCAGCGCATGCGCAATGATACGTTCCGTGCCCAAGAGTACTACAAGCGTGGTCTCACAGCGTTTCCCCGCGACGGTAGCCGGGCTCGTTTGCGTTCGTTTTGACGAATCAAACGTAGCTAGTCACATGGGCAACTACGCGAGCTTTCTGCGCCGCGTCAAGGGCGACAAGGACAGAGTACGATGGCGCGTTATGTGCAAGCTGCGCAAACAGCCTACGTCTAGGCGCGCGTGTACTTTACAAAGGCCCTAGCCCTGCAACCCGACCACGTGAATAACCTAGGTATGCTTCCGAGCGTGTACTGGAGTGTCCACGATGCCTTTGTGCTGTTCCTAGTGCAATTTGCGTCGCTTTTGACAGAGATGGGACATCTCACGGAAGCAGGCGACATATACGAGCGCGCACTGGTGCTGGACGCCGAAAACGCGAATCTTTACGGTGCGCAGCATCCTCTCCTCTTGGTTCAACTGAAACAAAAACGTGGGGGAGCATAGGCAACTATGCCAACATGCTGCGCAAGGCAAACCACCTCGGACGCGCCAAGGAGCTCTACCTGAAAGCGATGCGCATGGATACGAACAATGCCATTGTAGCCCAAAACTAGTACGTCGATGGCAGCTTGATCCAGGTTCTAAATCGACTGGCGTTCGCTAGCGCGCTATTATTGCGAGATTATCCTTCCTTGCGAACGGGAGAAACCCGCCGGTAGACTGAAGATGTGATTCGAATTCAACCAAAAGCCTCTGGCGTAGGATCCAAGGCCACCCAGCTGACCATCTCAAGCGTGTCGCCAAGGACGTTCATCTGCTCTCAAAAGCCATCCGCGCCTTCCCAAGTGCTATGACATCCCAACAACGCGATCTTGCTACTTCAACGACCTGCACTCTGTAATCAACCATGCGCTGTCATTGCATTCGTCCACGCCGTCCATAGAATAGCACTGCGCTGTCGCTAATGCGAACTGTTTGATTTTCGATACGGCGATGTTTTTCACATTTGTATGGTCTGAGCGCCCGACCGTTCCGTTTCCGGTTCCATCATTCCGCAAGTTACCGCCAAGCCCTCACTCGAACAACCGCCCATGCCGATCTACGAGTCGCACCACCAGCACACGGCACGTAAGCCTGCGTCTGCGGCCAAGCAAGCTACGAGCGCAGCGCCGTCCACGCTGGAGGCTCTCGACCTCGTTGAAGCCTTGCTGGCGCAGCTAGCGCAAGTGGTCACGACCGCGAAGGAAGCCGTGCACGCCGAGAACGCTTCCCGAGCAGCCGAGCCATCGCTTTGTCTGTCCCGCGACACAAAATCCGGCGCGCCCTGCAAGAACCAGCGGTCCAAGTGCCCGTACCGTCTCTGTGGCCGCCACACGGATGGCCCGGCGGCAACCAGCCGGACGAGCTCTCCCTCGTGTAAGGACGAAGAAACGTCGATTCCTGCGGCACCTCGCCGATCGACCTCGACGCACCGCACGGAGCCCCATGCTGCCTCGTACGCACGCGCCTATTCGAGTTCTTCGAGGGACGAGCCAAATCTGCCGCGCTCGTCTGCGGCACCAGAACGCGGGCGCCCGACTGCTACCAAGGCGGCACCAAAGACGCAGTGCGGTGCCACCACCGCTCGTGGCAAGCCCTGTCGCAACTTTCGTGGCTCGTGCCCGTACCACAATTAAGCTTGGTTGAGCGCACGACTGTATCCTCCGCAAGGAGTCCGAATGAATCCTGTGCCCTTTCCAGTCTGTCGGCGTGTGTTAAATACGGCAAGCGATGCTGCTGCATTTGGCTTTAGAAATCGTACGAGAAGTTGCTGACGTCGAACCACGAGCTGACATCGACCGAGTTGTTGTCTAGGCCCAATTGGCTAAACATGGAGCTCGCACCGCCGGAATCGTCGGCGTAGCCCATGGCATTTTCAAACCCAAAGGCCCCACTGGTGTCAACGCCGTTGACGCCACTATCGCCAGCGAACAAATCGCCGCCAGCGAAATTGGACCCATCGTCGCCGGCGAACGTGCCGTCGTTCGACTCATACATGCCTTCGTCGTCGTCATAGTCGTCATAGTGGTTGGACTCGGACATGTCACGCGCCGGACCGCCCGTCTGGACCTCGATCGTCACCGTCTCGCCGCGTTCGTTCTTCTCGTTGCGGTTGCCCACGCGCCTGAACGGGCCGTGCGACGCCTCAAAGCGCCGGCTCCGAGTGCACATGTGGCATAAATCAAAGTTGGCGACACGCGTGGATGCGAACCGGGCGCCGCGGATCGGGCCCAACCGGCAGCCGTCGCACGTGATGTTGATGTGCGTTGTCAGAACGCGGGGCCGCGCGACAGCGTCAAAGGGGCCGTGAGCTGTGTGGAGGCGTCCGACGCAGCGCTCGCAGCAGTCAAAGTTGGGAGTTTTCTTCGAGATGAAGCGCGTGCCAGCGATTGGGTTGGTGCCGCAGCCGTCGCACGCAACGTTGGGGTGCACGACTGTCTGGCGCATCTCTTGGAACGGACCCCACGTCGTTTGCACGGCCGGCGACTGCACACAGCGACCGCAGACGTCGATGGTTGCATACTTGGTCGATTGGTACCGCGGCCCCGTGATCGGAGTCACCTTGCATCCGTCGCACATGATGCCCGTGTGCACTTGGGCGAGGCGGGGCGGCGCCGCCGCCATCGGTGCGCTCCGTTTTGATTCCTGGCGCTCTTGTTCTTTGAGCGCAGCTTGACCAGCCTCGAGCACCGGCGCCACGGCTTGGATGGCTTTGCCCAGCTCTTCGCTCACAAAGACGCTGACAAGGTTTGCGGCCAAGCCCACGGGGACGTTCGCCGCCACAGTGCGCGCTACGTTGTCAATATTGTTGTTGTTGTTGTTGCTGGCGCTTGGTGCAGGCGCTGCAATGTTGCCGGTCGACGGCGCTCTGCCGAGGTGGGCGTGTTTTTGCCGAACGATGTACTGATTAACGCTTTGCAGAGCAGCGTTGAAAGCCGCGGCTTCCGTCGGGCTGTAGCTGCATTCGACAGTGCCCGTGCTGGTGAGTGCCCACCCGCTGTACTGGCGCGAGCGCAGGCGCTCATTGAGGCGGGACATGGCCGTGAAAAGACCGTCGACAAGCGGCTTGAAGCGAGGGTGCTGCGCGTAAATCGCGTTGAGCTCGGTCGCAACGACGACGCGGTACGTGACGCCCTCGGTCGTCTTCAAGCTCATCGAGAGCGCGCCCGTCGGCTGTTTGGCAAGAGCGACGAGCACGGATGCTATGTCAACCTTCTTGGGCGCTGCCAAGGACGGCGCGCTTGGGGCATGCACCAAGTGCTTTACTGGCGACGGCTTGGTTGGTGCAACCGGTGGCTTGATCGCAGCAGCCTGCGATACAGGCGTGGCAATCGGCAGTCTCTTGGCAACGGGAGGTCCAGGGGCACTCGCTGGCGTCTCTTTCTGGGGCGCGGCAGGTGTGACAGTGGGGGCCGACAGTGGTGCTGGCAACGCGGCCGTGGACGCGCGGCGAGGTGGTTGCGGCGTTGGCGCAGATGATGACGAAGAGGCCGACGACGCGGAGAGCGACCGCGCTGGAGACGAGAGGTTGGGCGCGGACGCGGACGGGGTGACGGTGGGGCGGCTACGAAGGTGCGACACAATGGCCGTGAACCACGCCGTGCACGATTGCGCGTCGTCGGCGTAGAACTTAAAGACGCGGTTGCCCGAACCTTTGGCAACAAGGCCGTGCTGGAGATCACTCGCGCGTTCAATCGCCAAGACCTGGAAAGACCCTTTAGGCTTGAGCGTCGGCGTGAGCTTGTCCGTCTCAAAGTAGTGCAAGTGGCAGCTCTGAAGCACCATGAAGCGGCGCTTCCAGTTCTTCACGACGCTTCCTTGCTTGCAGATCCAGCCGCGGTGGTCGCGGGTTGGCGGCGCACTCACCGACCGTGCCCGCTGCTTGTGGTGAACGATAAACCCATTGAGATCCTGCAGTTTTGCGTTGAAGGTCGCGACAACCGTTTGGTCGCTGGCAACGTCCGAGATGACTTCGCCCGTCGAAGTGATGCGCCAGCCGTCGTACCCGTGCTTCTCGAACGCTCCGTTCATGTGCATGAGCGCTGTGAAGAGGCCGTCGACACGCGGCTGCAAATCGCGGTGCGCAGCATATAGCTGGTCCAAAATGGCCTTGGAGATGAGCTCACGCTCGTTGCCTTGCTGGAGCTCGAGGCCCATGTGAAGCTGCCCATTCGCGCCCTTGCGGAAGCCCACGGTGACATCGCCGATGGCGGCCATAGCGTGCAGATTGAATTCTGGCAGGCCTTCCCATCCCTCATTCTCTTCTTGAAGGATCAAAGCCGCCGCCAATCAGAGACGCGGGTCGTGTCGATTTGCACCAGCAGGAGAGACAGGCGGTGAATCTGACGTCAATTTCGGCCAGCGAGAAAGTGCTTCAAAGCGAGACGCTCGCTCGTGCTGAGGCTCGTGCAAGCTGCTTCTTCAAGGCGCTCCATGCGAGCCCCATCTATCGATGACCGAGTTTGGCCAAAACCAGGGGTTGGAATTGACCAGCAACGATGGGCACCACAATGATTCCATCGTGTTCGATGATCGTCAGTGGAAAAACCAACAGCGCACTCTCCACGCGCTACGGCAAGAAACCGGCTCCAGTACGTACAAACCTCAGTCTTGTCATGCATGACCAAAGGCGTTGTCTGCTCCCTTCCTCTGCACCGCTTCGCTCAGCTGCTCGCTTCCCTGGGTTGGCAGAAAGCAACTATCACGAATGCACTGGTTTGGACCAGCGGGCAAAACTCTGTTTGAAACAGAAGCAAAGGCATACAAATTCCAAGGTGGATGGACCTGCTGGCGGAGAGCCAATCAGAGAGCCCATCCAACCAAGTTGGACATCGGTGGCAGACGCGGGAGGAGCAGTCGCCATGGAGATGAACAAGAAGATCGAGGAGGTCGTTGCCAAGGCGGGCGTTGCGATCCTCAACGACGAAGACGCGCTCATCGTGGACGATGAGTGGACGCCCGAGCGCGAGACGTTGGCCCTCGAGCTCCTCAACCAGGACAAGAAGGTCGTGCCGGCGTTCTGGCAAGGTGCGCGTCGCTGCTCTAAAAGCTACGACTCACGTCTTTGCAGAAAAGTACGAGCGCGAAGCCGCCAAGAGCTGGGACCTCTTCTACAAGCGAAACACGACCAACTTTTACAAGGACCGGTAGCGATGATCTCGACGCTGCTCGGCAATTGCGATCGGTGTAGGCACTACTTGCATTTGGTATTTCCCGATTTGGCTCCCAAGGAAGATGGCACAATGGTTTTGAGCAAACTGGCAACCCACTTCGATGCTCAATATGGCTTCGTAGGCTTCGTCTGAGCCGCAGTGGCTCCTCGAAGTGGGCTGTGGAGTCGGCAATGCGGCGCTTCCGCTGCTCGAAGTGAATCCGAACCTCAACGTCGTCGCCATCGACTTTGCGCCAAAAGCCGTCGATCTCTTCAAGGTGCACATTCCTTGGGTTGTCCATTTATCCATTTTCGATGCAGGAGCAACCGCTCTACGATCCGGCGCGCGTCCATGTGTCCGTGTGTGACATCACGAAGGACGTGCTCCCGGCCATCATTGACGAAGCCGGCGGCGTCAACTATGCGCTTTTCATGTTTTGTCTCTCGGCGCTGCGCCCTGACAAGATGCAAGACGCTGTCGCCAAGATTGCGAGCGCCGTGCGCCCCGGTGGCAAGGTACTAGACATATGCTCTGCGCCTCTCCGACACGAGTGTTTAGATTTTCTTTCGTGACTACGGCCGCTACGACCAAGCGCAGCTCCGCTTCAAGCCCGGTCACAAACTCGCCGAAAATTTTTACGTGCGCCAAGACAACACGCGCGCCTACTACTTCACGACTGGTACTCGATGTGCTGATGGACCACCGGCACTGATTATGTTCCCAGAGGAGGTCCAGACGCTCTTTGAAGCTGCGGGCATGGTGCAGGTAGAGAACGAGTACATTCGCCGGCAGTACGCCAACCGGTCACAAAATGTTGTGCGCTTCCGCGTGTGGATCCACGCCGTGTTTGAAAAGCCCATGCAGCAGTAAGCCACCAATACAGAGCTGTTTCCTTCTTGAAAGATCGTCATATTAGCCAATCAAAAGCCGAGCGTTGCAGCCAATCCAACCATTGCGCGGCCGACCAATCAAATCGACTTTGCAACGATGCTGCGCCGGCCGTTCTCGTCCTTCCGGCCGTGGAAGCAGGGCGCTGGGGGCGCTGGGAAGCGCAAGCCGGACGCCAAGTCGTGGCTCCCCAAGACGGAGCCACCCAAGGTCGAGCTGCCGCCCGGCGAGGCGTTGTACGGTATCCACGGCGTGCGCCAGGCGCTGCGCTGCAACCAGCGCGCCTTTCACAAGCTCTACCTGCGCGACACGAACGACCAAAAGACGGCAGCCAAGAAGCCTTCATCGGAAGACGAGCGCCACCTGAAGGAGATCAAGGCCATGGCAACCGACGCTGGTATTCCCATCGTGTACGAGAGGTGCGATCGTAAACTCGAGTACCAGTGCTTCAACTCTGTCCACTAGCAAGTGGCTGCTGAACCGAGCGACCGACGACAAACCGCATCAAGTACAACAACACGCAATTGCTCATCCACTGATAGCAAACTTATCCGTGCGCAGGGCGTCGTGCTCTTTGCAGATCCGCTGGCGATCGCCGAGTTCGAGCCGGACGTGCCACCAGGTATCCACGCATATTCAGTGGTCTTATGGCTACTCGGCGCATGTGTGCAGCCGATGCATCCGGTCGCCCGCCCGTGCTGCTGGCCCTCGACGAGATTCACGACGCGCAGGTTTTCAAATTATGCTGAAACGCAGCGCTGATCCTGGCGGCTGTAGAATTTTGGCGCCGTCTTGCGCTCGGCCCACTTCCTTGGCTGCCATGGCGTGCTGACGAGCATGCGTCACAGCGCACCGCTCTCGCCCGCGGTACGTGCCCTCTTGTTTCCTGGAGTTTGATTCGCTGAACATATGACCCAGGTGTTGCGTGCGTCTGTTGGTGCGGCGGAGGTGCTCGTTGCCGAGGTGCCACGCTCGTGATGGCTTGCGGTCATGCTCACGGGCCGTCATCCATTAGGGTCGTTTGTGGGAAACGCGCAACATGCACCAAGCCATTGCGATGAGCAAGGACCTCGGCTGGGACGTTGTTGGCGCGTGCAGCGGCGCCAAGTCCATCTCAGCCGACACGTTCGCGCTCACAAAGCCCACGATCCTAGTCATGGTAACATTTCCACAGCAAACGCTCCACAAATCATCTGCTAGGGCAACGAACACCGCGGGCTCAAGTCCAACATCAAGCAGTGCTGCGATGCTATTTTGACCATCCCAGGTTCTCCAGTGCCAGCTCGCCCATATCTCATGCAGTGAACAGGAGCTCCGCAAGATGCTGCGTCCAAGGTCGACTCGCTCAACGTCAGCGTCGCGGCAGGCATCCTGATGTATCAACTCCTCCATGGTCACTAATAGAGCTACAAGTCGAAGATGGAGTAGAATAGCGCTAAATTCTTAAATAGGTTGGGTAATTACATAATGCTACAAGCTTCGCCCAGGGCGGGCTTGAGGGGCTGGGGCCACGCCTCCATGCGATCAAGCTTGATCACCTGGATGCCGCCAGACTGGCATGTGACAAGGGCCTCGCGCGAGTGGCTGCCGTACGACGATCGGACGTTGAAGCCGGCAACACCGTGGCAAATGCCTTCGAACCGGTTGTTCTGGCCGACGAGGCGCAAGTACGGCTTCTCGTTGGTGACAGTGAAGACCGCGAGACCGCCAATCTGGCACGCGCAGAGGAGGAGACTACCAAACACCTTGACGTCGAACACGGCGCCGTACGCGGACTTGACGTGGCCAAGCGACTTGATCGCCTCAACGTCCACAATGTTGACGATGTAGATGCCCTTGTTGCCGCACGCGACGTACGCCGTCGTGTTGTCGTCGTCCAGCGAGATGGACCGCGCTTCGCCCGTGAAAACGCGGTCGATGGACACCAAGCGAGGGTGCTTGGGGTCGACAATGTCAACGACTGCGAGGAAACCCGCATCGCATGCTACAATCGCATACTGGTCGTCCTTGATCGCGACGGAACGGGCCTTGTACTGTCCGAGCGCGTGATGCAGCGCGATCATCGAGATCCAACTGTGGGTACGCGTGTCGAAGAGGCAGAGGCCGAGGCTGTCGCAAGCGACGACGGCGACGGGCTTGGCCATGCACATGGCGACGCCGAGTGCAGGTACGTTATGGGTCTCGGCAATCGTAAGGCTGTCGTCGGCTTCGCGCCCCAGGATGACGAGACCTCCTTCTTGGCACGCGACGTACACCGCCTTGCCACTGGGCGATGCTGTAAGTGACAATGCGGTGCCGGGTACGCTCACTTTCGCAAGCACTTTGCGAGTTGCGAGGTGCATCATCGCGACGTAGTTGATGCAGGCGACATAGGCCATGTCCCCGCACGTGTCGACACCGTACGCGAGGCCGCCAAGGAGGACGCCGACCGAATCGGGCGACGAGATCATCTTGGGGCGGTATATGTACTCGGGGCCCGTCGTGACCGAGTGTCGCCGGGCCTCGCCTGTCTTAGCCGCCATCTTGAACGACCGCTTCTCCATGAGGCTGGCCGAAGTAAAGTCGCCGAGAAGCGTCATGCTGCCGTCTTGTTCGAAAATGGCAGGTGCCACGACGGGCCAAGCAGGCTCCTGGCCTGGCCTCATCAACTGGCCTCATGGAGTGTCAGTCAGCACTTTAAACCAGTCCTCCCTGAAAAAACCGGCTTTAACGTATGCGTGAAAGTACGTTAAAGCGCCGGGCGCATACTGAACGTAGTGGGACATCAAAGGCATTCTTCCGTGAGAAGAGCCGGGCGCATACGCCCAACCTTGCAGTTTGTATCGATCGGCAAGTGGCAACCAACGTTCGGAGCGGGGCTGCTTGACACCGCGCCACGTGCCACAGTACTCGGCCGACGGCGGCTTCGGGCACAGTATCACACAAACGTGCCAGAAGACCAAGAGCCAAAGGCGAGGTTTCAGACAAAAGTACAATGCAGGCGACGAGACATGGCCGGCCTCCAAAATGGTCAGCTACTGGGCTCACCTTCGTCGATCGAACGACGGCTGACCCGCTACCGGCCACGGTGCTGGCCACCTGCAAATTTCGAGGCGCTATCACCCAAGCGGCCACAGTGGATCGATTCCTCACAGCAAACCTGCCTTCATCAGGCAGCGACATGGTCAGTCGGTGCTGGCCCGCGCAGAACCTCGGATGATGCAGCATCCCACGAAGCGAGTAGCCGCGCCTCTGAGAACTCGCACTCGGCGTTTCGTCGCAGGGTCCAAACCACTGAGATCACATGACTCGGACAGATGGCACGCTACAACTGCATTCGGGCCGCAAGAGCTGCCGGAAGCCTCCCTTATATCAGAATTATCTACACAAAGCACAAAGGCCGTAAACGACGCCGCGTACGTAAGCCACGATCTGGTCGCCGTGTATCAAAGCATGGTCAATGGTCAAGGGCATGTTCCGCATTGGAAGCTTCGGGAAGCAAAGGAGCATCCGAGATACCCGCGCGGCTCTTTGACAAGGGACATGACTGCATTTCGCTGGGTGTAGAGAGAGAGACCTTTGCTTCCGCCACGAACTGCAAGCTACTCACTTGCACTGGCCCGAGTAGAAGTTGCCCGGGCGTTGGGTTGTCGTCGACAAACTACATACCTTGTACGTGGTTGTCGCCTTGTACGTAGTTTGTCGACAGTACCGACGGTTCAAAGCAGCTTTCAAAGCATTCTCGACGTCCTCCCGAAGTGGCGCCATTTCCCTGGTGGATGAGTCTTCAACTCTCTCGTAGAGTCAAAGTCGGCAAATTAGGATTAAATACATCTCCAAACCAGTACACAGCGCTAGAGCCACACAGAATCTGCCGACGTATTGTCGCCGGACGTCGACCGCTGTCGTCGAAGCTCCCTCGGTGACTGCAGCGATGGATCTGACCGACGGCGCGAGGAACTCGTATCGTCCTGCTGCTGCTTTTTCAAGCCTCGCGGGCCCATAAAGAACTCGGGCGGTGCGTGCGACCCACCCTTCTTTCGCCCAAACGCAGCAAAAAAGCCACCTTTTTGCGGCGACGGCGCGGTCGTCGGTCGTCGCGGTGACGTCGGAACGAGAAGGGTCGTCATCGGGCGCTTCGAGGGCGCCTCGGCAAGCATCGCCTGGTGGGCCTTGAGCTCGGCGCGGAGCCGATCGACTTCAGTCTGAAGGCGCTTCTGTTCCTCATCGTCGACCGAGGCTGCAGCCTGAAACCGCTTCTTCCGCACAAAGTTGCCGAGCACGTGGGTGGCCTTTTCGAATGCGAGCTCCTTCTTCAAGCTTTCGACTTGTTGTGCTAGCTCTACCGCATACGCGTCCTTGTTCGCGTCTTCGCTTAGGGGCTTGAACGTGCGAAGGTGGTCCACTTCTGGGAGATTGAGGAGGCTGTGCATTTCGTTCACAAGGGCGAGCTTCATATCTTGCACGTGTGGCGCTGTCGTCACGTCGGCGATATCTTCTACGGACGATGCGCGCAGGTCGGACGCGTACTTGAGTTGCTGGAGCTCTTGCGTCATGACGCGGACCTGTTCTTCGTTGTCCGTCACTTCTTTTGACGTCGCCTCTTCCGCTTGGGTGAGCGCCTCGCTAATGTTGTGTCCGCTCGACGCCTCGACTTGAACCTTGTCGAACCACGTCGCAAGCGCCTCGGCGCGCGTAAGCAGCGAGAACGCCTTCTTCTTCATGGTCTTCTGGACGCGTGCATCACTTTCTTGTCGGCCAATCTCGATAAATATGCTTCCAGCCTCGGTGTAGCCGTCAATCGCTGTCGTGAAGCGGCGCGCCCGCTCGTCGTTCATTGCGGCCGTTGCAATCTTTAGCGCCGCCTCGTAGAGCACGCTGGCGTCGACCGGCCTTGACGGCAGCGGCGCTTCGGCGTACATGGGCATCAGACGAGGCGGACGATGTGCATCTTCGGACGGTGGCGGCGTCGCCAAAGACGTGTACATGGTGGTACGCGGCTCCGAACTGGGGGGCGTTAGTGTCGTCTGCGACGGCGGCGGCGCGATGTATGAGGTTGCCTCGTCGTCCCACTCGTCTTCGCTGACCTCGGTGAACGTGACGTCGCCAAGCGGCTGCAAGAGCGGGCGGGCGAGCGCCGTCGGCGCCTTCCCAGTGCGTAGGCTCGCGAGCCGGTCTTCGAGCGACATGTACGCGTCTGATGATGACCGAATTGCAATACTTTGGCCGTTGGACACTTTCGAAATCCAATGCAGCGACCAATCAAATGCGGCCAAGGCCCTGGGCGCGCACTGATTGGCCTAAACAACACACTTGGTCATGACAACGCAGTCGATCGAAGTCGCCGGCCGCGCGTACGCGATCTCGGAGACGCTCGAGAGCGACCAGCTCGATGCGCTCTTCTCCGACGCGTGGACGGGCTCGCTCGTGTGGCGCGCGTCCGTCTTTCTCTCGCAGCATCTCGCGCGGCTCCAGGGCGAAGGCGGCTTTGCGCCTGGTGCCACCGTCGTCGAGCTCGGTAGTGGCTGGTACGTCAAGGCAGTGCCATACTGGACAGCGCATCACCGCTTTACTGTCTAGTGGCCTCGTGGGTCTTGTGGCACAGGACCTCGGCGCCGCTCGTGTTGTCGTGACAGACCAGGAAGAAATCGTTGGCCTCCTCCAGCACAACCTCGCCTTGAACCTGCCGCGCGACCTAGGTGCCATCATGGCAAAGCAGTTCAATTGGGGCAGTCCTCGCTATGCCGAACTCTTTATCAAGAACAAACCCTTCGACTATATCGTCGTCTCGGACTGTACGTAACATCGGTACGCACATATCGTCAAATGGAGTAGGTATTAACCCCATTTACGGCGTCGACTCGTGGCGCAACCTCGCCAAAAGCATCTACGACCTCGGCTCAACGCACACTGTACATGTAATCTCGCTAGATATCGGCGTCCTCAGAATGGCTAGGTGTGCTACTTGTCGTACGAGGAGCGCGGGGATAACGCGGCGCTCGCCGACTTCCAAGCATGCAGTGCGGCCTACTTGCAGCACGAGCTACTCGTGAGGGACGGCAGCATTCTCCTCTTCCGTATCACGCGTACATGAGAAGAAGATTGCTACGGATATCGCTATAAATATACCGGGTGCTGTTGTTGATCCTCCAACAGCGTCGGGTTTGGCATGGACGGGTATGCCAAGATCCGCGTCCTAGGCGAAGGCTCATTCGGCCTCGTGTATCTCATGCGCGAGAAGGCTGAGCGCGGTGGGCTCGTCTGCGTCAAAGACATTTCGGTCCAGACCAAGACCGGGCTTGCCGACAGCGTCCAGGAGGCGCGGCTCCTCGCTCGCCTCTCGCACCCCAACATCGTCGCATACAAAGATGCATTCATTGCGCGCAACCAACGCCACTACTACATCGTCATGCAGTACTGCTCTGGCGGTTTGCTTATCCTGTCTCGCCCCACGCACGTCGATCGTTGTGCCCGGCTAGGCGACTTGCACGCCAAGATCACCGCTCAGCGCCAGCGATTCCCAGAGCACGCGGTACTGCTCATGTTTGTGCAAGTTTGTCTTGGGCTGCATGCGATGCACGCCGAAGGCATCCTGCATCGGTAACACCTCTGGTCCACACGTCTACCATTCACTGCGTTTAGCGATATCAAGAGCCAGAACGTCTTCATTTCCAACTCGGGCCAATACATCCTCGGGGACCTGGGCATTTCACGAGTCTGTGCGATACAAGACTACAGACGCTTGATGTTTGATGCGTAGGAGCTATCGGGCCGCAACAACATGGCGTCCACCTTTGTGGGCACGCCGTACTTTTTGTCGCCCGAGCAGTGCGCCGGCGAGCGCTACACCTTCTCGGCCGACGTCTGGGCGCTCGGCTGCCTCCTCTACGAGCTCTGCGCACTCACGTATCCCTTCACCGGCGCAACTACCCCGGCGCTGCTGACCAACATTTGCAGTGGGTTCTACGTACCCATTCATCGCGAGTACAGTTTTGGGCTGCAAAAACTCGTCATGAAAATGCTCGCCGTATCCCCAAGCAGCCGACCAAGCCTCACAGAAGTGCTTCAGAGTCCACTGCTAACAGCGCCGCTGCAGAGCTACGTCGCAGATCTGCGCAAATGTGCTTCGTACGGACCTACACCATATAGCATTTGGTAATTCCGTCTTCACTCAAATAGAAAAGCCCACTTGGCAACGATAAGCACCCAGCTCACAGCGCTAGACCTGTCCGACCTTTGGACCAAAGCCAAGTCGACGCATGGCGCCTTCCTCTTCAACACGACCATAACGCCGGTGCCGCAGTTCGCGCACGTCGAGGTCGACTTGGCGGACTGGCTCGAAAAGGAGCGGCAGCGCCATTTGCTGCAGATTCTGGAGCATATCAAGGCCAGCCATGCCCTCGCGCGCGCGCCACCACCTCCTCCGTACAAGTCTATATCGATATCCTACGAGTACTACCGATACCGATACCTGTGTAGACCCGTATCGCCGCCACATCCGGTGAAGCGACTGCCCACCATGCGCTCGTCGCCTTCGATGGACCCCGAGTGGCAGCCGCCGGTGCAGGTCTCGCCACGCCCAGCAGTCGTCAAGCGGCACGGACCACGGCACAAAGGGGTCGTCGGCAGCTTCCGCCGAGGTGTGCCGCTAACCAACGACGCCAAGGCGTACCTTGCAACGGCGTGCAAAGATGTGCGCGTTCTCCGAGCCCAAGCGTACCAAGACGCAGCGCGGGCGCGAGATGCAGCATTCGCCGTCGCGACAGTCGCCGAGACGAACGACGCATGGGCAATTCTCGAAGTCGAGTGCTACGCACAGCTGCAAGCGCTTCGCAAATAACACGACAAGAAGAAAAGTAGGCTCGTTGTTAAAATCAACCTCGTGTCAACGTCGCCTACTTGAGGCGGTCGATACAGCGAACGCCCTGCTCGTCGTACTCTTGCTTGGAGATCCAGAACTGGTCGTTGTCCTTCATCATGTCGGCGAGGACGCTGCCGCCAAGGAATACGAGGTGCTTGCGGCGCGGCGGGTCATTGATGCGGAGGCGGAACTTACCCAAGCGAGACTTGTCGCCCTTGAGAACGTCGTTGAGGTATCGATCCTTGATGTCCTTCTCGAGACGGCTCGGAAGACCCGGGTACATGGTAGAGCCGCCACTGAGGACAATGTTCTTGTACAGCTCCGGGCGGATATCGATCTCGGCCTTCTGGCACATGTCGAAGACCATGTCGCTCAAGCCGGCGCCTTCGATGCCAATCAGGTGCGGTTGGAAGAGCGCTTCCGTCGCCTACACACCACCGTGGTTCATGAGCGACAAGCCACGCGATGCACGCCGACCTCGAAGCGCTCGCGGCCAAGCTTGACAATGCGGCCATCTGGGAGCTCGTACGTTTCCTCGAGAACCGTTGTCTCAAGGGCGAGCTGGCGCTCAATCGTCGGGTCCAGCGCAGCGTAGCAATGACGCTCCTTGATTTGGCGCACGGTCTCAAAGTCCGCCGTTCGGTTAAACGCATAGCCACGGAGCAGCATGAGCTTGATGAGGTACTGCGTGATGTGGCGGCCCGCAACGTCGAGACGGCGGATGAGGTGCTGGGGCACAAAGCCTTCATAGACAGGTACGACATGCGAGACACCGTCGCCCGAGTCGATGACGACGCCCGTCAAGAGACCTTGAGCGTACAGCGTGAGCATGGCCTGCACCGCAATGTGCGTGCCCTGGAACCCGTACTTTTCAAACATGACCTCCGTGAGCTTTTCGCGGTTGGCCTTGGGGTTGAGCGGCGGCTCCGTGAGCATGATGCGCATCTCTTGCGGGTTGACATTGAGGCGGTCGTGGAACGTGTAGTCCCACAACTTCTCCATGTCGTCCCAGTTCTTGACGATGCCGTTCTCGACCGGGTAGCTGATCTGGAGGTTCGAGCGCACATACGCGGCCTCGTCACCGCACATGACGTCCTTCAGAAGGACGTCCTTGTTGACTGCTTCCTCGGCGCGCAGGATCGGCCGGCCGACCATCGACGGGAAGATGTGCCGCGGAAAGTTCTCGGCCGCAAAGCCGCACTTGACAAACTAGAGAAGCGCCGTGAGGACGCGGCCATGGGCCAAACGTACGTACCCCCGTCCCGTTGTCGCAGACTACGATCTTGTTGGCGGCCACCATAGCGTCGTCTTTGTCGACGGAAGATTTCCCAAAACTGAGGTCGACCTTGCCCAGGTTCGAGCCGTATCCGGACGGTATGCGGATGACGATCGAAATCAACGCATATAGTGTACGATGCGCTTCTCGTGCACCTGGCGCCGGTTCGCTCGACTCTTTACTGCACGCACGTGTGCATCTGCTGTCGCCATAAACGCTTGATTCGAGCGCAGACTATATTTATACTAAGGAGGTCTCCAATATCTCGATTGCCACTGTGCTCTCCGGTATTCTATTTTACACTATTTGTGTGGATGACAAAGATTAAGCTTTAAGCTTTTTGACCTGGCACAAGTCGACGGACGATGGCAGCGCGGTGGCAAGTAGTCGTCCAGGCGCTGGAAGCAGCCTTACAGCCAGCGTACACCGGCGTTGGAATGATACGTGTGTGATGCATTTGCCACTAGGGGCCTTGATCTCGTCGCGCCATTAAGCATCGGCGTGTACAACGCGGCCGTGCCAGAGGCCTACAAGATCCCATTGCCCGAGACAGGGCTCCTCGTCATGGTGGGCAACACGAAGCGGCTCTGGGAGCCGTTCCTTGCGTCTATCAACCTTGATTGCCTTCCGGAGCATCCGCTCAACGAGTATGCCATGCGAGTTGTGACACAAGCCGTCTCGACCCTCGACGATGTTCCGGACAAGGTACATGAAGTCTGTTGAGATCACCACTACTACTGCAGCAGGCGTATTGGGTGCACGAGACTGAACCGGGAAAGATGATTGCGGCCCAACGCATGATCGTCGCGTCCGGCCTTGCGAATTTGTCCGAGGTGAGTCGCCGTCGACAACACAGAATGTGCATATCGTGTATGTAGGAGCTCCACTTGACCGTGCACCCGACGTTCGGACCATGGTACGCACAGCGCGCTGTTGTCGCCTTCGGAAGCGTGCTTGGGCCTACGCAACCTGTGTTTGCTGCCACACCCCTGGACATTGCCCCCGAGGTGCGCGCCGCCATGAAGGCGCAGCTCGACGAAGCGCTCTCGCTCTCGCAACTGCCGACGCCCATGAACTGGACGCTGTGGCTGCGTCCGCGCATAACGTTCGACCCGAAGCACGCGTTTATGTACTCGTCGGTGCAAACCATGTTTCACTACTCGAAATCCGTCGACGACCGCCGACGGATCTTGCGTGCCGCCAAGCTCGGCTGGCCCCTCGACAACATTCTCGATACGCCGTCCCCGTCCGTCCTCGCTTGCCGACACTTGCTCCAAGGCGTGCTTGCAGAAACGGCGGCGAAGGCTCCGCAGGCCATTTTGCTCAGCGGCGGGCTGGACACCTCGATTCTGGCACAAGCCACGCCTGCGTCCTTCGAGGATGTGTGTGCAACATCGCAACCCGGACCGCCAATTCTCTCGATGCTGCGCGGAGGTATCACGGTGCGTGCCGCCCCGGAGGCGCAAGACGCAGTGTACGCGGCGCGCATCTGCGAGAATCTTGGACACGTGACGCACCACTGCTTGGAAGAGTCGATCGAGAACCTGATCTCGCACGCGAGAAGCGTCAGCTGCCTCCTCGTCTCGTTCGACCCAATGGAACTTCGCAACTCGATCGTAATTTACCGCTCGCTGCTTGAAGCCAAAGCCCGCGGGTATACTTGCGTCGTGACTGGCGACGGTGCTGACGAAGTCTTTGCAGGTCGTTCCCTACTTGACTCGAAACATGTATCGACAAGCATGTAGGCTACTCGTTCTTCCAGGGCATGGACGTCGAGAAACTCGCAACTTACCGCGTCTGGATCGCTCGCATTATGCGCTTCTCGTCGAAAACGCTCGCAGCGTCAATGGGCATCGACATCCTGAGCCCTTTCTTGGACCCGCGGGTTATTGCCTTTGCTCTGGAGCGGCCGCGCGACGAGCTCATTGGCGACAAGACGCCAGTGCCCGACGGCAACGTCCACGGGAAGCGGCTCTTGCGGCAGGCGTTCCCGGAAGCAACGTCGCAGTGGCGCGCGAAGGAACCCATCGAGCAAGGAGCAGGGACGACCCAGCTCCGGAAGGGCTACTTTGACGCGTACCCGCCCGACATGTCGTTTGACGATGCGGCAGCCGCATGCTACGCCCAGCACCACATCGTCATCCGCGACCGCGAGCACTTGTACTTTTTCCGGCAGTTTCTCGACGCGTTCGACGGCGACTTGCGCAACGTGCCGCTCTCCCGTGGTGACGCAGATGGCTGCCCGGCCTGCAAGTTTGAGCTAGTCTCAAGCGACAATGACTTTTGCACCACCTGTGGTTTTTGGCCCGCGCGCACGACAGATGCGAACAAGGCGATGGCTCAGCGCGCGCTCCTCGATCTTGCGTCGCGTATCCAAACGCTCCAAGCGCACCACTCCGTCGATGCGTCGGCCTGATGATGTGCACGCAGAGGCACTGAAATGCACGCTACTTTGACGTGTATTCTTTGAAAAATGTTCTGGGACAACAAAATGCTAGCGAGTTGTTCACATGGGGTCGTCACATTGCCTGTTCTTGGACACCGGCTGCGTGGGCGGTGCGTAAAACGTTGTTGCATCGACCATGAGCACGCCGACATGCCGCGCGTACGCAGCAACGTCCGTGTCAGCTGCGTCGCTCATCCCATCGGCGGCGTCCATTTCCAAAAGCACGTCGCGACACTGGCTGGGCGCCGATATGAGATGCTTCCTTTCTCGCTTGGCCAGATTTGTTTCGCGCAGCCGTAGCGAAAACCGAGACGAGTTGCGCACGCAAGGCAGCGCACGGACAAACTCGAGGGCTTGGTCAGACTGCAAATCGCCTGCAATGGTCAGTTGAGCCCCGCGTCGACTCGTCCACGCAGGCAACGCAGCCGCTATCGCCGCTACGCACGGCGGTGGGATCGAGGTATACTTGAATTGAACGTCTTCTAGCACTTCAGACGTCTTGAAGATCTCGACGACAGTTGCCAGTGCATCGCCCGAGAGCGAGCAGCCAACCAAGTGGAGACTGCGCAGACTTGAGACCTTGATGCCCGGCAACACTTTCAGAACGCCGCAGCGGAGGATGAGATTCGCCAAAGTCGGCAATTGAAGCGCATTGCACACAAGAGCTGTCACGTCGCGCGGCACGTTCAAATCGAGCTTGAGGGTCGAAAGTTGTGACGCTGCAACTTTGGCACCCCAGGCCGCCACCTCGGCAGTTGACCACGAGGCCAAGTGCAGCGCTAGCGACGTCAACTGCGGCGGCAGTGGCGGCGCAGTTGCGTCAGAAAGCGCAGTGGCGAGCTGTGAATGGCCACTCCATGACGTCGGTTTGTCGTACAGCACCAGAGACTTGAGCGTCGTCGAATGACTGAGGACACCCGCGAGTGCTCTCGCCGCAGGCCGTTCAAAGTCAATTTTATCAAAAGTGAGCGACTGAACTGGGGATGATGCGAGCCACATGCAGACGCTGCCGCTCGAATTCAGCGTTCTCGTTCGTTTCTTGATTGTCGTGAGCGTGAACGACTGGAGGAACCACCAGGACGACGTGGCTGTGGCCATAATCGCGTCAAGTTGGTCTTGCGTCAGCTTGGAATGTACGACGTGCACGCTGTGGACATTGATACACTCTGCGATACCGGCGAGAAGCTTTTCTGTCTTGGCTAATGACGATGGCAGCGAGATCTGGAGCGACGTGACAGTACAGGGCCAGAATTCTAGCACCGCGCTGCCCGCCCAGCGCGGAATCCAGTCGACGGCCACAGTGACAGGCCACGGTGTTGTCGGTTGTACGAGCTGGAGCTCGATTGTCGTGTCGACGACAACAGATTCGATTGCGATGACGCGCAAGAGCTCGCTCGGGTTCGCCGTCGCCTGGATGCGCGCGTAGAGAATGCCAAAGACGTCGTGTCTCGTGGTTGGAGGAAGCGCGTCGAGGAACGTGATGGCGTCCGAGACGCAGAAGCCGGCGAAACAAGCGATGTCGTAGACCACGGCAGGCTGAAGCCATGCGTGCATCGCCGTCGTTTTGTTTTGGTGATTGTGAGAATTGATTTGATTTGCTGCCGAACTTACGGTCCACCAATCAGATGTCGCGAAGGCAACTTGATAGTTATGAATCAAGCCAAACGCTTGGCGATGATCGCCTCGTCTGCACCCAAATCGCGTGGGTAGCGTATCGACTGTATTGACGCTGAAGTTTCTTTGACGGTAGGTAAACACTTCTGCAAAGCGGCAGAATAAGACAAAAGACGGTCGAGCAACAGTTCATTGCTGTTGCTGCCCTCAACGCTGCAACCATGCATTTATCTTTGCTGTCTGTAGAGTAACTTGCGTCATTTCGAAGAGTTTGTCAGTCAATCACACGATTAATAGTGCTCACTTACCCTTCAACCTGCTGCCCTTCAATCTGCATCAGTGAAAGCGATTGCAAGCGTTTCCAGCGCCTCGGTTACCGTTAACAGCTCTGCGAGGCCGATCATGGCGCTATTGGTGAAAGAACCATCGCAAAGGCGGAGGTGCTGCAGACGACACGCCGTTGG